GAAGACGGCAGTTCAGTTAGGCCCCCAGTGGAGAAACTTCAAATAAAAACAAAAACAATAATATTGCAACAAGTGGCATTGTTTCCCCGTGTGCGTTTATTGCGTGTTCATGTGGAAAGAACAAACAGACGCGCCATAAAAATGATTTTACTGAGCTCTCTCATAGAGCTTACAGATATAAGCGGTTACTACTAAGCGATAAATAATTCGGTAGAAAGCGTTCCATTCATTTAAAAAAGAGACCGTTACCCAGTGAGAACACATGATACATTATCCACGCATAGTTTAGATCTCGTACGACCCTGAGTGTTGCTGCTAGTGATGCCCTCTCGATTAGTCAACATCTTTTGTACTCTACAGCACACAGATGTAAATAGGAATAACTGCACTCTACATAAATGCGGTGCTTATGCACGTATGCTAATACATCCACCACATGGTGTTAATAATGACATAATTAACTAGAGTTTCAGATTGTTTAAGAGTTCAAACGGTAGAAGGGGCTTAGACCTCCGCGTTCCGATCGCCCCAGGGGGGAGGGGGTTAAAACGTGTATTTATGCATAACAGTTCCTGGCACATCTCTCTTGGATAGTTAGGTGCGAATGCTACAAGTCTCACAGCAGTTGTACTCGCAAACAAATAAACACGATGTGTACTTCAGGTCACACGCGACGGTTGTTTTGGAGGGAGGGCCCGTGTAAATATAGTCCCATGGGCTCTCACGCAGACCTCAGGGGGAAAAGAGGAAGATGACATCGAAGAATGCGAGACCCTCCTAATACCCCTTCTGCTCCTACCGCTCGTACCCCTCTCGGAGCCCGACTCAGGGAGCGGTGCCTTTCGCTTCGACATTGTCTGCGCGCCCGCCATGTCACACCTTCTCCCGTTACATCACCGGGACGCTTCACTATGCCGTCGCAGTCGTCAGGAGCCGCAGCCCGGCTAAAAGTTACATGCATCGCACCTGGGGGTTTCCACTCGGCATTTCAACGCACTACGTTTAAAGTTCTTAAAGAGGAGTGTTTGGTAAATAATGTGGTAAAGCGTCACCTAGCAGGAAATCAAGAGATTCACGACTACAAATAGAATTCTTTCTCTTGAGTGCCAAGAAAGGGGTCCGGGTGACAGACTTCCAACTGTGAGGGTTCGTCGCTTATATACACGCTATTGTTTTTGTCATTATTATTGTTATTGTTTTGATGTTATGATTATAATTTCTTCCAGTTATTACTATTACCATTTCTTATTATTATTTGTATTATATTTACTTCTATCAGTATTATTATTATTATTGTTATTATTATTGCACTTAATTTTATTGTCACAGCCATTACAAATCTTAGTAACACTGCGATTATAAATATTTTGTTATTATAATAATATTATCTCTATATATGAACAAGATAACATCAGACAGGCCGTCTAAATCGTCTAAATATAACCTGAAGTTACTGTTTGCATGTAATGTCTACGAGTGGCTCATGTTACGAAGTCCAAGCGGGTAAATATTTACTCAAATAAGTACACATCCATCTTCATAATTATAGGTATTGGAGGTTCGATTGCCTGTCCCTTGTGTAAAAGTTAATTTCAGTGATATTTTGCAAATATATCGCTATATATATATATTTTTTACTGATTTGTGTGGTCAGTTGGAATGGGTTTTGATGATAATAATGACAAAAAAAAAGCAGCATCAGATATCCCAGTACTTTCATATCGTGTACGAAATTCTCAAGAAAAGCAAATAAATAGTCTCCTGAAAGTATAAGTAATGTAACATTATACACATATTTGCGTTCCTATACATGTAGTCGAAAAAAATGTTGCACCTTTAACGTTTCTTGTACATCAGAATTTTCCAGCAGTCTCAGCAAATTCAGGGTTGCGTATTTGAGATTGCCGTACCAAATATACGTATATTTATTATTTACCTTTGAGTGTGCATTACAAGAGTTAGGCCGTTTCTTTACTACAGGCTAATCGACTTTATTTGTATGACAGTTTATACTTACACAAAAAAATCATAAAGCATAACAAGGCAGCAGCGAGTGACGAAATGACTATCACCAATATGAATAACATTATTTGCATGTATTTTAATTTCGCGACCTCCGAGACAGTCTGTTTCGATGGAAATACGCCAGCCGACATGAAACCGTTACTGCGAGGATACATAATAATACACTTCGGGCTCTAATGATTACTTTTATTACTTGATTATAGGCCTAGATGAGGGTTCGTAAGCCTAATGTCCGGCGAAACCAAGTCGGCAAGTTCGACGATGATCAGGGGACAAAATCTTGGTGGGAGGTTTGTTTTAATTGACGTAGTCCTTGAAAATACCAGTTGGCAGTGATCGCAAGTTTTACCGTGTTTAAGAGTTCATTCCCCAGACTTAGGGCATGCTGCCAACAGGTGTCATGCTACTGTATGGCGTGGCATTAACGTGTCATTTTGTCATATCAAATTGCAGAAATATTACATTTATATATATTTTTTTATCATGACTTCCTATGTCATTGGGATTTATTGTCAATTACAGAACTACTAGGACTTTGGAGAGAAATGGCTACTAATGAAAATTGACACTTGTATGTTTTATAATCACATCTCATTATATGTACTGACAGAATTAAAGTTATGTGATACCGTATATTATCAGTCTTAAGTAAATGATGTTTTAATATTTTCATTTTGTTATAGCCAAGTAATTGGTATATATATGTATAAATATTGAGATTATGCTTCAGCACTTCAGTATGAAGGTTTTAGAAAGATTGAAACTCTTGATGAGGATGCATTCTCAATATGTAAAAATGCTGCATCCATTGAGTTTGAATTTAGTTAGTAATGATGATATGAAAGTTAATGTACAGAATGAAAATAAGTTATACATACAGCATATCATTTGTTAACTAAATATTTAAGCCTGTATCATCATCCCCAAGAATTAGGCAGAAATGTATGATTATGGAGACTGATTCAGCATGAAGTTATTGGATGCTATAAAAAATTGGGTGAGGGTAGAGGAATCAATATGTTTGATTGCTGCTTTCATTAAGAATTAGTTGATTTTTTTGTTTTAGGAAGGTTTGCTAATTAGCAATAATGAGATGAACCCAGTTTCATTTACAGTTATTTTTTATGTCATACTTATTTTATTTTTATTTTTTCTTGCAGGAAAAATGGCAAAATTCAAAGTTAATGAGAATGTGATGGCACGCTGGCCTGGCTCAAACTTGTGGTTTGAAGCAAGTGTTGTTGACTTCAATGATATTGAATACCAAGTGATGTTCAAAGATGACGCCAAGTCTGAATATGTTCTCAAATACAGGGATGTTAAGGTAAGTGATTGAGTTGTGCCTTTTTAGTTGTATGTTTTTGGAAGCAACAATAAGTAAAGAGAAAGTAACAAGTGGACTATTTGATAAAGACAACATTTGTAAATGTGGTGATAGGACCATATGAATTGGTATTATAGTTTTTGTTCTCTGGAAAGAGCAATACGTCAGCCCTGTGGATATTCTGGAGGAGCTTGGATTGCTTCCATATTGGATGATGAATTGCGAAAGTATACATGGTGGAGGGTTATTTTCTTTATTGGAGCATGAAGTAGAGGACACAGCATCATGCCTACATGATTGTAGATTTGCAGACTTTGGGACGAGATATTGGCCTTATTTCTAGTGGTAGATGTTTGTGAGACACATGCAGTAGCTTTCAAAAATAATTTTTTGTAATTATATTAGTTCTGGCAAAGGCAGACAAGCCTCCACCACTTTTACTCTGACATTTTAGTTCACTAGGAAGATCTACAAGCTATATTTCCAGAATATACATGGTAATACTGTGTTAGCTTTTTGTTAAAGTGCCAATAAGTATGGAGACATGAACCAGTTGTGCACATGCAGTGTCTACCACCCCAGACCATTTATGATACCTGATATTATTATTTGATATGCTCTTTATGATAATTACCTCAGGATTTTGATAGTTGCATGTGGTGTATTTTTACATTTCCGAAGTGTTTCCCAAAGTTGTAATAAACTGTATATATATTTTTTTTACATGTCACTTAAACATTTTAGTATCTGTTGCAATTTGAGCTATAGTGATTTCACTTAATTCCAGTCTGTCGAGCAATTCCAAAGAAGTCGCTCCAAAAGCCGTGGAAGATCTAGCAGCCGCGGCAGATCTACTGGAAGACGAAAGAGCCCAGGGAGAAAAAGTCCAGGCCGAAAGAGTCCAGGCCGACCTAAGCAAATTAGAGAACCTGTCATAGAAACAAAGCCTGTGAAAATTGTAGAGCCCGAGCCAGTCCCAGTAGTCATCAAGCCAAGAACGCCTTCCCCAAAGCCTGTTGTCCGCCTTGCCAGGGCTGACAAGTTTGCTCCACGAACCTCAACTCCCACAAGACAGTCTGCACGGATCGCTTCGTTGGCCGAGAAGGTAAGAGGCTACTTTGCTCTTGTGTATTTGTTTGTTTCAAAATAAAGAGGGTAATGTTTTAATTTCTCTGAGGTCAGATTATTTCTAATTGAAACCTATGTGGAGAATGGTGTTTCTCTTTTTGAAAATATTAGTAGTTTCTACATCTGATTTTAACTAAATATATATATATTCACAAAATGCCCAAAAAATCTATTTGATTGTTTTTCTCTCCAAGCATGATGAAGTTGATGGACAGGTCAATAACATCAAACCAGAAGTCAAGACAGTGACAGAAACTAAAGTTGCTACCCAAACTCTTGGTAGCCGACTATGTGGACTGACATCCTGTGCTGGAGGCTGCTTAAAGACTGCCGCATGTGCCATTATTCCTTCTCTAGCCACTGTGAAGGCACTGATTGCCTCTTTGCTGATTGTGGGCCTACCCTTCTTCTGTAATGAGCTGTGTACCAAGGTTAGTTTATTTATAGAGATGCCTTGTGTTAATAACTTATATAATAGACTATTGACATTTAGGTCACTCAACAGTAAAATTGGAATATTTAACCAAACATGTGAATAACATTGTATTCTGCATCCAGTATCTTCATGAGAGTATTATTTTGCAGAGAAAGTGCACAATCCTTGAATTTCCAAATATGCCTCGTAAACTTGAGGTTTATTATGATTTGAGGGCAGTTGGCATTGTGACTGCATTTTCCTTAATGCAACTTCTGCTCTGCCTGATCCCCATTGGACGGAAGGTGAGCCTCCCAAATGGGGCACAAATCCGTTGCAATGGTAAGTCTGAAATCTGCTTTCTCTCTTTTTCTCCCTCTTTCTGTCTTTTTCTTTCATTTTTCTCTCTTTCTATCTTTCTGTTTTTTTTTTTTTTTTTTTTTTTTTTTTTCCCTCCCTCTCTCTCTCTCTCTCTCTCTCTCTCTCTCTCTCTCTCTCTCTCTCTCTCTCTCTCTCTCTCTCTCTCTCTCTCTCTCTCTCTCTCTCTCTCTCTCTCTCTCTCTCTCTCTCTCTCTCTCTCTCTCTCTCTCTCTCTCTCTCTCTCTCTCTCTCTCTCTCTGTTTCTCTTTTTCTCTCCTTCTCTCTTTTTCTTTCTCTTTTTATCTTTCTTTCTCTCCTTCTCTTTTTTTCTTTCTCTTTTTATCTTTCTTTCTCTCCTTCCCTCTTTTTCTTTCTCTTTTTCTCTCTCTCTCTTTCCTCCTTTTCTCTCTTTCTCTTTCTCTCTATTTCTTTTTTCTCTCTCTTTCTCTCTCTTTGTCTCACTTTTTCTCTCTTTCTCTTTTTTTCTCTCTTTTTTCTCTTATTCTTTCTCTTTCTTTCTTTTTTGTTTTTTCTTCCTTTTTTCTTTTTCTCTCTCTTTCTTTCTCTCTCTATTTCTCTCTTTTTCTCTTTTTGTCTTTTTCTTTTTTTCTCTCTCCCATTTTCTCTCTCTTTTTTTCTCTTTCTCTTTTTCTCTCTCTCTCTTTTTTTTTTTTTCTCTCTCTCTCTCTTTTTTCTGTTATTTTTTTCTCTTTCTCTTTTTTTCTTTTTTTTTTTCTCTTTTTTCCCTTTTTCTCTCTCTCCCTCTCTTTCTCTTTCTCTTTCTCTTTCTCCTCTCTTCTCACACTCCATCTATTTTGTCTACTGTTCTACGCAATATTGTTCTGCAGTACTGTTCATTGTAATAGATTTTCAAATTTGAACTTGAAACACAAAAATGTTAATAGTAATTTGTATTCTCATATTTATTTCTAATTTCTCTAAATTATTGTTTTTCAGGCTATGTTTCATTAGTTGTGACTCTGTCGCTGATACCCCTGCTAATGTACCTGGACTATGATGTATTGATCGTCTACACACTCTTCCGTCAAATAATGGCCACCTCTATTGCTCTAGCAGTCTTCCTCTCTGTAGTTCTATACATCCGAGCTAGATATATTCCTGATGATGCAAAGAACCCAGCTGGTAACACGGGCATATTCCTAGCCGATTTGTTCAATGGACGTGAGACCTGTCCTGCCATTCGATCATTTGACTTGAAATTCTTTGCTTTTAGGGTCATGGCTACTATGTGGGTAAGTTATCATGTAGTTTATTTGTGTTTGTAAGTGCTGGTGGTATTTGATTGAGTCTAAAATGTTTATAAATATTTGAGATAATTATTGTATGTTTCTCAGGTTGCTGCTGATGCTTTTCTTATTTGCTTAGACAGCTTGTAACTGCATAATGTATAAATACTTATGAATGGTTATCTTTTCAGCTAATGATGAATGTGATAGTAGTGGTAAAAGATCTGCAGATTCACCTTGGCCAGTATAGTCCAACACTCCTGGTTGCTTGCACTTTGCAGGTAAGTGTTGTTGCTTCATTTTCTATTTATCTATTTAGTTAATATATAAATTAACTAATATATTCAATTTTGGGAATGTAGTTTTAAAGTAATATTTTCTTGTGTACATCATTATATTCATTCATTAAGACATATACTAGGGATTTGTAATATGCAAATTGCCTTTGCTCCTATTGCAGATCTTCTATGCTGTCGACTTTGTATGGTTCGAAGAATCTATCCTGACCACTTATGAATACACGAAAAATGGATTTGGTCTGTTCTTTAGTGTTGGCACCTTACAAACTCCATTTTTCCTGACAATCTGGACAAGACTTGTACTTAACCATAGGTGAGATTTTTTTTGTACTGAAGTCTTTTATGAATATATGAAGAAGTGGCAGCTTTAGACAAAAAGTGTATTTGTAAGTGCTTTTTTTTTTCTTGATACAGTTATATGTTACAGACCTTTTGTTAGGAAGTTACAAATAACCTTCTCTTTGACAGAACTGAGCTCGAATGGTATATCCTGTCTCTGGTTGTTGCTCTCAATCTCTTCGGTTATACAATTTGCCGTGGATCCAACTCACAGAAGCACGCTTTCAGGACCAACCCCTCTGACCCAGCCTTAGCTCGTCAGTATAGCTATTATATTGGGTGATAATTTTTCCCGCCTATTTTAGGTGTTTGCATAATGAGATAAGAGGAAAATATATGATGTTTATAGTGGGAGTGGTGTGACCTAGCCCTCAAAATTACATTGAAATTTCAGATTTGGAAAGCCTGCCAACATCTGCTGGAACGAGATTGTTAGTCTCTGGTTGGTGGGGTGTCATGAGGCATCCAAATTACATTGGGGAGATCCTGATAATGACCTCCTGGACTCTTCTCTGTGGTGAGTATTCGTCCTTAATCTTGAATTTTCTTTAATGTAATGGTAAAATAGATAGAGCTTTTTTACTACTATTCAGTTCATGTGTAAAAGAGGATGAAATAAAAAAACATTATGAAATAACTATACATTTCATTTGTTTATAAGTAATCACTTTGTTCTTCTGTACAGGATTCAACTTTGCTTTACCATGGGTCTTGCTTGGACTTGATGTTCTGTTCCTAGTTGCAAGAACTTATGAAGTGGAAGAAGCTTGTAGGAAGAAATATGGACTGGCATGGAACAATTACACTGACCGTGTAAAATACCGCCTTATTCCCAGGGTCATTTAGATTGATCTTTGGCTCATAAAACTCTTTTTTTTCCTTTTCTGAAAACTAGGGACTGTTTGGTCTAAGCAAATAAGTCAACTCTAAAGAAAAATGGTTAAAGATTAAAATTAGAGTTGTCTCTTAAAGAGGTCACAGTTCTATGATAATGAATTGGGTAATTTTAAGGTTTTTAATTTTATTTATTATTTCACATTACAATTCCCAGTTGATTTGCATATCAATGATTGCCAAGTTTTGATGGAAGTTTAAAAGACTCTATTTTTGGTACAAAATAATCTATGAAATCTCTATCTGTGTAACATCAACTTTTATATGTTCTGTTATTAATAGTAAGTTTACTTACTATGAATATAACTGGCAGAAAGTTTTAGAGGAATCTTTCAGGTATATCAATGATGTTGATATTTTTGTGGTAGTTTTTGAGGAATATACTTGATATTTTGTAAGGCTATATATTGATGAATATCCTTACAGTTGAGGATGCGTGTATAGGCCAATTTATGCACTAATTCTTTATTTTCTTGCTCATTTTTCTTACCTTGTTGATGTACAGGGTGTAAGCCATGACTATACAAAAGGGTAATCTTATAGCATTGCTCTTTTTAGATATTTCTTGCCTAGTGACTCAAAAACTACATTAATATCTTCATTAGTGGTAGAAAAGGCACCACTGCTGTATATGGAGAGTCATATATATATATATATATATATATATATATATATATATATATATATATATATATATATATATATATATATATATATATATATATATATATATATATACATATACATATACATATACATATACATATATGAATATATATTATATATATATGTGTATGTATGTATATCATGTATTTATTTTTAGATCATTGGCAAGTGTTTATTATTATATTTTTTATTTATTTTCTTAAGTCTGTAGATGTTCAGTTGGTAGGATGTAAGATTGAAAGAAAGCAAGAAATGATATTTTTTACAGAGATAGTCATTGATAGGAAAGATAATTTTATTAGATTTCAGATTTTGATGCTGCAGCATTAAAGAAAAGGATTTACAAGAGTTGGTCATAACGGTCATAAGAAGGGACAATTTGCAGTAAAACTTTTACGTTATATGGCTACACTGGACTAATGATCTGACAATCAGAACTTGGAAACTATACCATCCATACTTTGAGTAGTAGGTACAAATCTTTATGAAAAGCTAATTCAAACAGAGAAAAAAAACAAACAAAAAAACTCCTTTATTTAGTGGTGATCATCAAAGAATTAATATAAATTTAGAAACTATTTATTCAGTGATACACAGTAATGTGCAATTATTAGTTTTACTCTGTCTTTACTAGATATATATTTGAAGAAGAGAGTAAAATGTATTTTTTAGTGTTGGTGGATTAAAATGAGATTGTATAAAGAGGGAGGAATTTTGTCTCCATTTAAGAAGATTTTTAAAAAGTGCTGGTCTAGAAAAGATAAGAAGTGGATTGATAGTTTTTTTTTCTATGTATATTTTTTTTCATTATAATTATTTCTAATGATTTTGCATAGATTTTTGTTATAGCTTCATTTACATGCACAAGAAGCTTGAAAGCAATTAAAACTAGTATCTTAAGTTACAGTATTTATTTCATTTTGTGTCATTTCTCAAAATTGAAAGGGCAAGTAAGTGTAAATATTTGATATTCTTGATCGGTTAGTTATTTCATTACCATTATCTTTTTTAAGACTCATTCAAAATCAGTATAGAGATTCTGCAATGCTGTTAGCCTAAGTACAAACTGTACATAGTGTATTTTTAAGAGATATATAATTTTTTTTTTCTTTCAAATGAAATAAACACGGAAAATTTAATAGAAAGATATGGCCTATTGCAGTTATATATGATAGATTGTAAATGTAGTATTCTGGTACTATTTTAGTATTTAGCTGCAGTTTGATAGTCTGTCTCATGATGTGTCAATAAGGTTTCCAAGTGATCTCAAAGATAGAGGTAAGCCTGGGACACATGTCAATTTTGTCTTGACATGAAATCTCACTATACCCTTTTTTTTTAAATCTTGCCATCAATATGTAATGTCTTATAATGAGACGTCTCCAAAGACAAACTAAGTGGCTTTTTAGACCATAAGAAGGATGCCGTTTTTCTTCTAATGTAGCTTTTTAATTTGAGATATACACATGAATAATTTTGTAAAAGGAAGTCATGCGTGTCTTTGTCATTTTTGTGTATATACGTATGATCTTAGTGTTTAGGCTTGTGTATAGGAATTAAGTTACTTGTACAGTATACAAGTATTGCAGTGTAAGTTTTTGAAATAAATTTTGTAAATAAGTACTAAGTATTAATTATTTCCCAGTATCTGATTTGTAAAGTGTGAATACTTATGAACAGTAAGACTTACTGTTGCAACCTATGGATAAAAAAAAATAGAACATCATTGTAACTTCAAAATTGTCTTTTCAATTTTTCTTGTACATCAAGTCTATCAGATGATATTTTTAAGGACAGTACTGAAAATCTGTTGGTCTCAATTCTGGTTTGTGTAAAAATAGAAACAGACATCTGGTATCAGCATGTGTAAGTAGGCAAGGATGTTGCTCATATCAATAGTTTACAGGAGCATTGTATGAATACTAGCAAATAATAGATGTCAGTGCAACCATGTTATGTTACACAACTAATTATATTGAGAATAGTTATAAAATTTGCTACTTATATAATGAACACTTATTAACATACAAATAAGCTGTATAGCAGTGCTTTCCAACTGGAAAGTTAGCAGGAGGTCCTCTTTGGGGAAAGTATTGTAGGCTAAGTGAGCAGATTGTTTGCCAGTGTTTACATTAAAAAATTAAAATGAAGCCAAGTCTTCAGAAAAAAATTAAAATGAAGCCAAGTCTTCAGGGAATATTACATTATGATTAGGTAAATGAAGGTTGTACAGATTGCTTGCTTTTTTTTCTTTTCTCTTTTTAGCCTGAAGATTATGTTGGGAGGTTGCAGATATTTTGGAGGATTAAGAAGGATTGCAAGGTAAAAAAAAATTAGGGAACGACTACTCTAGAGGAATGAAAGTATATATCACTTTACAAGGGAACTGCTTATATGCTTAAATTTGATGATACAATTATCAGTATTCTTGGAAAGTCTATGATGTACATGATATACCATATTGCATTCAAGTTCATCTACACATTTTATTTATTGAGAAATTTCTGCCACATCATCTAGGGTCATTAGTGGCATATTCAAAATACCAAGTGGGGCTTGAGGGCAGAACCTCCAAGTATATCACTATGTTAAAGTATTGTGGCAAAAAGAGTAAAAATGAGTTAGCGATTAGGATAAGTGGACAGAAAAAGGGGATGTGAAAGAGAAGGAAAAGGAAAGGGAGAGAAGAATTGGGCCTCAGTCTGTCTCCTAAGCCCTCCCATGACAATAACAAGCAAGGGATTGGGAGGGTTGATAAACACAGCATAAAATGAAATCAGAAATAGTAGCATTATTAGTATTTTGTATTCATGTTTTGTTTAAGCATTTCACTTGAAATTCAGACCTCATTATCACTAATTTATATGCAAGGAAGGATATTCTTCAATTCATATAGAAAGAATAATAATATGCTTATACTATAAAATACAAGGTGCATTGTTATTGTCACCAAGAGAAAAAAATCTAGAAAAATATGGTGGGGAGCATTTTTCTCACTTTTAACAGTGGAATGAATACCTTGACTTTTTAAGCAAGATACAAGAAATATACAGTATAAAAGTATACATGTAGTAAAGTATACATATAGACAGTTCAAAGAGGAAATTAAATTGACCATAAATTGTTATATACAGTGGAAAATATATAAGAAACATATATTGTAATTGTAGCTAATGAAGCAAGACACTAAAAGTAATGACAAGGATGATAAGGTCACAAGTGTTTCTTTGATTTTTCACTTTCTTGCTAACAATGTAAAGCATAGTGAATTAGATATTTGTAGTAGTATCTCTCAGCCTGCTGAGCCAGTAATATATTTTATGTATTACCCTCTGTAGACATAACTATTTTGCATTACTCATCTTTGATTATGGTAAGATATCAAGGTATTCATATGTCCAAAATTTTGCTTTTCACAGTAACTGTTATTTATTTATTTTTTTAATAATCATGAATTTATCAAGTTTTTAACTGTACCCACCAGCCAGACAAACACTGAATGAATCAAAAAGGTACATTAGTAGGAAAGGAAAGTTAGTAAGAAAGAAGAGGGGACATGGACAATGCCAGAAAAACAATAAGAAAGAGAAATCTATCATGACATGAAAAGTAACAATTTGTTGGGTCCTTTCTTACTGTGGTTCGGTTTTATTGCACCTTTGAACACGTTGATACATTTTGTTAGCATCGTATCTCGGTTCACCCATGGCTCCGTTTTCTCACCAACTTATTTTGATTTTAAATATGTTTGGATTTGTTTCATCATGGTACATAAAATATTAATTAAGTGTTGCTCTTACATCATTACAGCAATGAAAGAGATATAATAGGTGATGGAATAAAGGTCACCAAGTCTATATCACATCTTGGACTATAAGAATTTGAACTCCTTGATAATGAAATGAAAATAATCTTACCAGTTGCTGTAAACATTTAATTTCAATTTGTAATAAAAAAAATACTCAAAATAAGTATGAAATTTTTATTTCAGGAATCCGCAACAAAAATATTCAGTGGTAAAATCTATTTTGAGTACATAGTTTTCATCTAAATCAGAATTATATAACAATCCTCCCTGACCTGGCCTCGAACCTAGGTCACTCCGGGTATGAGACCGGAGGACCTGTAAAAGGAGTGTGCAACTAGGATCTAACTAGCTCCATAGACATTACCTATCTACTCATACATGAGTAATGATAGCGAGGTTTTACACACTCCCCATGGGCACTCGGTGGAAATTGATTTAGAAATTCAAAACTGGAGTCAGATATACTAAGGTGTATATATACATGAGTAGATAGGTAATGTCTATGGAGCTAGTTAGATCCTAGTTGCACACTCCTTTTAGGGGTTGTGTGGCATGGTTGGTTTAGTACTGGTCCTCGGGTCTCATACTCAGAGTGACCTAGATTTGAGGCCAGGTCAGGGAGGATTGTTATATATCTACATCAATGTGGCATTGCATTATTCCATCTTTTAAATCAGAATTTTATATTCTATACTGTATACTTGAGTTAACCCATTGCTGCCGGGGAAAATGAATAGAAAATGGGGAAAATGCTGTACTCATTTTTTATATTTTTGTGAAATGTCTCTGTACATAGATGGCTCTTTCACCTTTCCTTGAATTGGCGGGAAAAAACGTATTCTTACTAGTGCTATGAATACAGATGGTGTTATTTTTAACAGCAAATTAGGATAACGTTAGATATTTTGGTAAATCAATGAAAAGGGTGAACGGGCGAGACAGGCAGTGCTCGTAATTGGCTCACTGATGACTTCGTACAAGTGTAGCCATCTATGTGTAAAAATAATCAAACAAGTCAACTCACAGTGGGCATGGCATGTATGTACATGCCATCCCCATTGGCAAGAGGTTAATTATTGTGATTCATTATTTCCTAGAGCTCTATTTTGTCACTTTCCAGGCCACTTGAAAATGCTATAAATGTGATAAGACTTTGTTAGTAAGACAATAATAATAGGATTACTATTCCTGTATGTTCCTCACTTTAATGTGAACCTCCATTATGATTCACATCACTGCAAAAATTAATGAATATGTGGAGAAATAAGACACAAAGTTCTTTCAATATTTTATTACTGATTACAGTAACACCAGTGCAGCACAGCACATTTCCTCAATATATTATATTGATATATATGTATATATATATTTATAAACTCTTAAAGCCTCCACTCTAATATATACACACTTTGTCCCTAGTTTTCAAATTTGCTCACTAGTGCACAAATGAAATAAAGACTGGCATGTTCCCTCAAATCCACTGGAAACAATTACCAACAGAATCTTCTCACTCCCAAACTTGGGGGATAAGGTGTACCCGTCATTCTGGTAATTACTACCTTAAAACGTTTTTAAGCACCAAACATTGTACACCAAAATGCAAGCAGGTTCAACTGCTGGAAATATATAATTCTTGGAGGGTATAAAATGAGGTGAGAAGCCTGTAGATCACTGCCAAAGGTTCATTTGTTTTGTAATGTACAGTAATTGTTTCAAAAGACTCAAAGATGTGGTGACTGCAGACAAGAGGCACTGTTGATGATTAAATTAGTAGCAGATGGTTAAGCTTTCCGATCTGTCACGGAATATCTGCGTCTTAGGATGAAGCAACGTAATTTTTTTTCTTCTCTACCGCCCAATTTCAAAATAAAAGTTTCACACTAATTAAACTGTAGCAAACTGATCCATGGCTCCTACATATAAGTATCAAATATATCACTTGTGTCAATTATTGACATTATTTTTTTCCTTTGAAAAGTTAACTTAGATCTGAAAAAATAATTGTTTCAATATTTCATACATATTACAGGGAATTTGTATTTATCTCAACATAAAATTTACTGGAACACCTCAAAAAGCTGAGCAAAACAGAAGGGCTATTACACAACACTTATACAATAATGCTAGTGATACCGTGTGTGTACATATGTATGTACATATGTATACAAGCACGCGCACACACAAACAACACACACACACACACACACACACACACCACACACACACACACAACACACACACACACACACACACCACACACACACACACACACCACACACACACACACACAACACACACACACACACACAACACACACACACACAACACACACACACACACACCACACACACACACACAACACACACACACACACCACACACACACACACCACACACACACACACAACACACACACACACAACACACACACACACAACACACACACACACAACACACACACACACAACACACACACACACAACACACACACACACAACACACACACACACACAACACACACACACACAACACACACACACACACCACACACACACACACCACACACACACACACAACACACACACACACACACAACACACACACACACACACACACACAACACACACACACACACACACACACAACACACACACACACACACACACACACACAAAGTTCTTTCAATATTTTATTACTGATTACAGTAACACCAGTGCAGCACAGCACATTTCCTCAATATATTATATTGATATATATGTATATATATATTTATAAACTCTTAAAGCCTCCACTCTAATATATACACACTTTGTCCCTAGTTTTCAAATTTGCTCACTAGTGCACAAATGAAATAAAGACTGGCATGTTCCCTCAAATCCACTGGAAACAATTACCAACAGAATCTTCTCACTCCCAAACTTGGGGGATAAGGTGTACCCGTCATTCTGGTAATTACTACCTTAAAACGTTTTTAAGCACCAAACATTGTACACCAAAATGCAAGCAGGTTCAACTGCTGGAAATATATAATTCTTGGAGGGTATAAAATGAGGTGAGAAGCCTGTAGATCACTGCCAAAGGTTCATTTGTTTTGTAATGTACAGTAATTGTTTCAAAAGACTCAAAGATGTGGTGACTGCAGACAAGAGGCACTGTTGATGATTAAATTAGTAGCAGATGGTTAAGCTTTCCGATCTGTCACGGAATATCTGCGTCTTAGGATGAAGCAACGTAATTTTTTTCTTCTCTACCGCCCAATTTCAAAATAAAAGTTTCACACTAATTAAACTGTAGCAAACTGATCCATGGCTCCTACATATAAGTATCAAATATATCACTTGTGTCAATTATTGACATTATTTTTTTCCTTTGAAAAGTTAACTTAGATCTGAAAAAATAATTGTTTCAATATTTCATACATATTACAGGGAATTTGTATTTATCTCAACATAAAATTTACTGGAACACCTCAAAAAGCTGAGCAAAAACAGAAGGGCTATTACACAACACTTATACAATAATGCTAGTGATACCGTGTGTGTACATATGTATGTACATATGTATACAAGCACGCACACACACACACACACACACACACACACACACACACACACACACACACACACACACACACACACACACACACACATATGTAGCACATGCCTGCAAATACAAGGACACATACTCAAAATTACATATAAACATCCCAACACACACAATTGAGCAACGTATTCATATGTTTGGCCTTTAGTGATTTAATAAATCATCTATTAACATAGCATTATATACAGACATCTACTTCCTAATGTTATGTGTTCATACACACAGACCAACACACTGATCCACCCATGCAGAGGCACACCTATACATGTATACACAAGTGCATGTAATCATGCATACAAGCATATACCAAACCAAAAAAAAAAAAAAAAAAAAAAAAAAAAAAAAAAGAAAAAAAAAAAAAAAAATTACACTGTATATACATAGGACAGGTCTCTGTGAGCATCAAATCAGGGACCTGAGAATTTTTCACTTACAAACCTAATTTATAACCAAAAGGTGTAACCTCCGACATTAACATTTTCAAGAGTGGCATCCAATCCTACATACATATTCTCTTACAAACCTGGATATACTCTGTGTAGCTGGCCGGGGACAGTATGACTTTGTACTTTGCTGCTCCCATGGGGAGTCTGTGCTCACCACTAACAAAATAAATTCACTTATTAGCTACCAACTGTGTCATTCTATGATGTGGGTTTACTACATTCCAGCTCTTTTCAGATGAGAAATTTTCAAGTCTGCCAGGTGTGAAACCATTTACTTCTGAAACAAGACAGTCATAACATTTGGGTTCCCCAAGTCTTGAACTTAAATCTGCTCTATGGGAAAGGTCCAATTCATACCAAAAGGCAAATTTAACACCATGTCAGAAAATCAATTGTCTGCTAATGTACACAATTACAGAAAACCTATTTAATGAAGACATCAACTATGCATCAGTGTAACCTGTATACTATTACATATTCTTACCCTAACAATTAAGTTCTTAGCTGTTAATGTGATGAAATATGACTGATATGCACCCACATCTTACCATTCTACAATCACCAAATCAAGTCATCAAGGCCCTGTCTTAATTCATACTCAGGTAATCATACCCTGCATACCAAAGGTAAACACTACCCAGGTCAAGCTGTTATCTGAAAGTTAAAACTAGTGAAAGTTAATGATCCATCACTGTTCATTTCGAAATTGTGGAAACAGACTATTACTACTCCATGTATGATTGTTTAACTTTAAACGAAAAATTGTCATGCTTAAATTTTTCTGCTGATTTAATCAACAAAACTGATTCAAAGGAACCAGCACAACATTAAATCAAACTGTCACTAGTTTCATCTGCTATAAATAATTTATGATTATGTAAAATATGACTATATTAGACTACATGATCTGGTAATGCAATTACTCTCCTTATCATATCTATGAAAAAGCTTTCTATGGAAGCTGAGAATATCTGTCAGTTCCTGAGTAATTACAATTTGAACTTCATCTTAGGTTAAGGCCAATTAGGAAACATTTTCCACTTTAATAACTATGTATAGGACTCAGCTTTGCTAATGTTATGTAAGGGAAGGCATCAAGATGAAAGTAACTTTAGAAACTTTGAATTTTTCAAGATTCAGCACATCATAGAAGCTTTATTACCAACAACTTCAAATAAAGAATGGTTATTGGTACTTTTTAATTGATAATCTATATAAAATATAAAGAAAATGTCATATTTGACTGTCAACAGTGAACTTCTAAGCTCATTTCTTAAGAGCACATTACAAAGAAGGGGCTGAAAACTTTATTTAATCTATGATTTTTAGTTACTTTGGAAATTTCCTACAGTTGCTTTGAAAATAAGAATACTGTAATACTCAACTTCAACTCTAATGAACTTTTTAGCTTAAGACAAACATTCTGTCCCGTTCACTTGACGTAGAACTGAAGTCCAATATGTAAAAATTTGGGGTGGAGAAATTTACGTGCATCATGAAATCAAATGCTCAATTATTTACAGATGGCTAATACAAAGAGAAAAAATATATTTGTTTCTGGAAATTCTACAACCAGCTACTTCTTGCCAATTACATAAGTAATATGCATTTTCAGAACATGCTTCTGTACCTCTATGTACACACCTTCCTGTTATGATTATGAAGCTGAACAACCAAATGCCAATATATTTCACATCCGAATTGAAACTGTTCATGATTTCTTCTAGAAAGAGAGAGAGAGAGCAGGAAGAATAAAATAAAAAAGAGAGAGAGAAAAAAATTATTCATCTGCAAAATGTCTAGTGAACACATAGAAAGAGACAGGAAGAAGGCAGAAGAGAAATTCTACACAGATTAATGTGCTATAAACTAATTACCTAGAAGCTCACATAATTCATTGAAAATCAGGAGAGGAAAAAAAAAAAAAAAAAAAAAAAAAACTTCTGAGGTAATAGAGTTTACATAAGAGGTAGTGGCCTAGCATTTAGGCTTCTAACACAAGGCCTATCTAATTTACATAAATAAAAGTAACTGATAATAATGATGATAATAAAAATAAAAGGTAAATGATTGTATTTGGAATGACCAAGAAGAGGTAATATTTTTAAAACTTTTTTTTTGTTTTGCGTAATTAGGTAAGAAATAAATTTACAATAACTGACACTAGCACAATGAACTAAATCTATCTCTGTCTACATGCACTGAGGAATTTAAAATGCTTTTTAACTTAGACAACACCTCCTGTGACGTAATATGGATTTTGCCTTTTCATCGTTCACATCACGTACATTTTGAGAAGCCATATCATATGCGCACTTTGCAATCTGTTCCGTTCTTGGCCACCTGCTGCTCTTCAACCTTTTTTTTAACGTAATTAAAAGCAAAGATTCAATTTTCAGACTAGATATTTTTAATATTCCATCCCAAAGTGAATAATCAAGTGACTCCTAATTATAATAATATAAATCTTTTTCAGTTCTTAAAAAAAAAAAAAAGAAAAAAAAAAAAAAAAAAAAAAAAAAAATCACAAATGCAGTTACTATTTCTGTAAATGTAGGTAACAATATAAATAAATACTTTTACATCAGTATGTATCGTGTGTGTGTGTGTGTGTGTGTGTGTGTGTGTGTGTGTGTGTGTGTGTGTGTGTGTGTGTGTGTGTGTGTGTGTGTGTGTGTGTGTGGGTGTGCGTGTGTGTGTGCACGAGCGGGCTTGTGCATGCGTGTGTGTGTGAAAGACAGAGAGAGAGAGAGAGAGAGAGAGAGAGAGAGAGAGAGAGAGAGAGAGAGAGAGAGAGAGAGAGAGAGAGAGAGAGAGAGAGAGAGCATGTGCATCTGTAGAAATAAAAATATTTAGTCATATGTACCAACACATGTAGATAAAAAAAACTTAATGTCAGTATTTACATTAGACAAAGAATATTTTGATACATCATTTGCAACAGTTTGAACAGACACATCAACATCACATTAATTCACTAAATACTCTTATATAACTTTCATATCAAGTGGACAGAAGAACATATATTAGTCATATATTATCAGTTTAACCAAGAAAAATTCCATACTAATGATGACAATGATAATAATGACATTCATACTCATATTATCTAACGACTGATAATATCATGAAGTACAAAATATTTAATTTTCCTCTAACTGACCCTTTTCTATATTTATTCATAATATTTCATACGTCCTTCAGATAAAAATTGTCTTGAGCAGTAATCTCCACCTAAATGTATGATTAAACTGAATGTAAATGACTACTTTATGTTCCTTCTGCAAGAACTGTACTGACATCCTGCTTCCCTCTCCATCTACACTGTACCACCAACACTGAATGCAACATAGAACTGAACATACAATAATTGAACAGCAATACAGGATAGGAATACATGCACATAATGACACTTATGGATTCTCACACCATTCGTTGTTAAAAGTTCTTCTCAAAGTTTGTATTCGTTACTTTTTTTCTCTTTTTAGTAAACTGGTGTTGTACATTGTCAAACACAATATGCTAAGTGTTCTAGGATTCACTGTTTTTTATTTATTTTTATTTTTTTGTTTTCACCATTCATTATTTTTAGGAATGAATGTTTGCTTTTCATCTTAACTGATAATTCAGCAAGGGTGCAAGGTTCTATAGCCACAAAATCATATTACCCACTGGCAACTTCTTTGAAAAAAAGAATAATAATAATAAATAAAATAAAAAATAAAGATAATAAAAAGGGGAAAAGTTCCATTTCTTATAATTATTATCACAAAATATTCATAAATCTTCACTTGCCAGAAAAATGTGTGTACGGGACTGGTATAGTTTTTGGCTCTCCGACATTGATTTGTTCAAGTTAGCAAGTATTAAGCAAATCCACAGACATCAGAACTCGTATGCATGTGATATATACATTTATATACACATGTGGCTTTGCGGACAATTTCAACATGCATTGTTTAGAACATCACCCATCCTTTCAGCTTAATTAACTGTCTATTTTCAGTTTCTTGTTTTTTCAATAGAGTAAACATCTCTTAATACAAATGGATATTCTATTCCAAATGCGAATTATGTACAAGTTATTCTTATAAGAAATGTGCCAAAAGATTGTTCTGGAGTCCTTAAAAGTTTTTGTTTCACAATACATTATACTTAAAATATTATCACTTTTTTCTTCTTCTTAAATTGTGGTCTTCCTGTTTATTCTTGTTTTAAGGAATATGTGCACAACTTTGTTTGAAGTTCAGTTAAGAGATGTTCTGGTATGATTTCCTTGATTGAACTTACATTTTCCAGATTTGAATTACAAACATAGTCCATCAACTGGGTTAGGACATCTATTTCAACGTCTGACAGCTCTTCTGTGAAGAGTTCAGACAGCGGTGACTGGGAGCTTTCAGGTGGTGATGAACTAGAAGTATCAGAGTATGGTGAAGGAGCTGCCATTGGGGATGGCAATGGCATGTCTGCGACAGGAAAGACTTCAGACTGCTGGACTGGCATGGGTGATGAAGTCACTACTGAAGGAGGAGTATAAGGGGCAACAGGTGCCATGAGTGGAACTTGAGGTGACAGCCTGACATCAGCTGAATGGTTTGCAGAAAGCATTAGGTTGGGTGACATAACTGAATTTTGGCAATGAAGAGGTGATGTGGGCAGCATGTCAAATGAATCTGTTGAATCCATTGGGGAGGCTGGGTATCCTAAATTAATGTCTGCTGATGGGGGCATGTACTGCTGCTGGTGCAAAACCTCGGTCTGTGGAGGATGAAGATCTTGCTGAAGTTGTTGACTAAGATTGAAGTGTGGTGTATGATGAATGTCTGGAGACATTGGGTCGTTCAGGTCTGAGTTAGGTAAATCTTGAGAGAACTGTGCATTACAATCCTCTTCTATCTGTTCCTGTTTGACTTCAACCTGTCTCCGTTTTGTACCGCCTCTTGGCTGTTTGACATGGTGAGTTTTGGTAGTATGAGACGAATCATCAACACCTCCACCTTCAGCTTTGATCTTTTTTACAATATGAATGACAATGGGAAGCAACTGTGGGGCTCGTAAATGCAAAGAGCTGTGCATCTGATCCATGACCTTTTGCAGTATCTTTTGGTAGGTGTGATCACGAGCACTACCAGTTGCCTCTAACCTTGCACGCTTGTGGGCAGCTGGAGTGTTAAGTGCAGAATTACAATCTATATCAAATTCTTCCTTTACATTTACCATTCCACTATCTGTACTGTCTAAGGCTGCTTCTTCTGATTGGGATGTATCCATAGGTGTTGCCGAGGAAGAATCTTGAGGATTGGACTTTGGAAGTAGTGATGTAATATTTTGGCTGCTGGAAGAAAATCCCTGCTGGATGCGCATCTGACATGTACGTTCTGATAACTCACGAATGTCAGCAAGAGATACTAAGACCTTGGGGAACATCATGTGTGACTTTTCCTTATATTTCCATGCAACATAATGATGCAAGATACGTGTATATCTGTCCTGAAGAGCTTGGATGGTCTCTTTTGCCTCCAAACCTATCAGTTCAGAAGAGTACAGGGTCACTAATATAAGTATCATGGCCATTGTTTCATCTGGGCATATCTGCTGAAACTTTCTGAAGAACTGCTCCACACGTGACATCAAATCTGAAGGCACTAGTTGCTTTACATTCTGTGAAGATACATTGGGAACGAAACCTGACCTTGTTATAGGTTTCCCTGGCCATTTGCCTGTACTTGAATCATATACAACAGAGCCCATGATGATACAAGCTGATGTAATGGCAGTTTTCATAAGTGTTGCTTGATCACCACTGGGGAGCTCGGTGAATTCCCTAAAGAGTGAGAAGAAATATCCTATTCTCTTGCAGAATGTCATCCAAGGAGACATGACGCCTGCTGCACCATCATTCTGGCAACTGGTATCATAAGGAACATCTTGGTATGCTTTTCTATAGAGAGAAACAATTATCTGTATCTCTGTATTATCCTCCTCACTTAGACTATATTTGTCAATGTCCTTTGTCTCATGATGCTTCTTCTGATCAGCTTTTAGCTTCTTTTCCTGACGCTGTTGCATCATCTTGCGTCGCTCGTCCTCTGACATCACCCAGCCCTTCTCCATACCTATGTTGAGGCATTTGTGGAATCTGGAAAGCAAAGTCATAATTACACAGATTGCCTTGATGTGTATTTGCATGTGTGTGTGTGTGTGTGTGTGTGTATATATATATATATATATATATATATATATATATATATATATATATATATATATATATATATATATAGCATACTGACATGAGGTAAATTTAAACTCATTATCTTTTGATATATTTACACACTTATGCCAAAATTATGTTTACTGCTGGGATGGCCAACCTATGACACAGTGCAATGTGTGGGCATTCCATTTAAGTGATAATAGTAAATAGCTTTATTGTAAAAACAATAAAAAAATAATTATATAACAGAAAAATAAGTAGCTCTGAGCTTGAAAGAGAGTGAAATGTGGATAACTCTTAGCTTATATTATTATACTGTGCACACCTTCATTTGAAAATAGCATACAGAGACGTATTAATTAAACAAGCCTTTTGTTTTGCATTTGTTCCTGTCAACTGTTTCACAAAATTTTGTTAAGGATATATCCCAATACTGATGCCCACCGTGAGTTACTTATTTGATTGTTTTTCCACATAGATGGCTACACTTGTACTAAGTCACCAATGAGCCTTTTAGGAGTACTGCTTGTCTTGCCCATTTACCCGTTTCTTTGATTTACAAAAATATTTTACGTTATCTTATTTTGCTGTTACTAATGTTTATAACATGATAGTAATTATAATGTCTATAATAAAAATAATACCATCACTATTCATAGCTTTAGTAAAAAAATATTTTTTTTTTCTGCCAATTCAAGGAAAGGTGAAATCAGGTAAGGTCACAAGGTCTACTAATTGACTCCTTTGCGGTTAACCGCTAGCAGAGCCATCTATATGCAAAGACATTTCACAAAAAATTAAAAATGAGCACAGCATTTTCCCAGCAGCATTGGGTTGAAAGCTTGGCAAAATCAACACAGACATAAAACTCTCATAACAGTCCGTAATGTTTATCTTGTTTCATACTACACCTATATACCATGTAAAATGCCAGTATAACCATATATTTGCAAGACCTGAATGGGGGTACAAGAGTTGTATGGTATATCTGAACTAAAAGGAACACTGCAAAATGTTGGTCATCCCAGACTTATTGTCTTTTTAAGTAATTTAGATATGATAGTAAATAAAATTAAGAATATTCTTTGCTTTGATGCACTTTGTCTCCACAAACTTATTTTGTCACATACTCTTAATATTACTTAGAGCATATCTACTGGATATAACAAATGAATGACAAAGGGAGGGTGGGAAAAGAGGAGAAAAGGGAAAAATGAAAAGGTGAAGAGAAAGGAAGAATAAAGGAGAATGAGGGAGAGAAAGGCCAAGTAGACAAAGGAAGAAAGGGGGAAGGGAGGGAGGGAGGGAGGGAGAGAGAGTGAAGGGGGTAGAGAGACACAGATAGAGTGTTTCTTACCTGCAGTACTGACATGCTTTTCTTGAAGACACAGCAATCACACATTTCTTTTCATAGGGACATGTAAATCCCTTATATGCATTGTTCTGCACTGATCTCCTGAAGAAGGCCTTGCAGGAATCACACGACAGCCCTCCAAAGTGCATCGACTTAGCTACATCTCCACAAACACCACAGGCTTTATTTCCATGGCGTCCAGGGCTGAAAGGAGGACAACACCAATCATAAATCTGTACTACGGAGCAGAAGTGAATATCTGACACCTATAATACATAACTTAATTTTGACTCCTTTTGAAAACTTTTACATACTGCATTTCACATTCGTTTGAGTGAGGATAAAAAAAAGCTTACTTTGTCTTATAAGCTGGGTAACAACACTACACACAACTCCAACAAATGAAACAAGGAAGATCTCCTAATCACTAAATTTACTCAACCATAAAAATATAAAGAATCTCATGGAGAACAAACACACACACACACACACACACACACACACACACACACACACACACACCTGACTGGGGAAGTGGGCGAGTCACTGGACGCCGGCGACAAAGGCGGCTGTGGTGAAGAGTGTCTTTGGTTGTGGCTGCTGGTTCCTGACGGAGGCGAGAGGCCCCTTCGGCCGACGCCCAAGCCACCGCCTCCAAAAGCACCTGCGCCTCCTACCATCATGGTGGTCATCACTTTGTCCTGCAAAGAGAGGAAATGGGTCAATGGAAAGGAGGGAAAGAGAGAGGGAGAGTCAATTGATTGATCAGGTGTGTAATCCCGGTTAAGTGGGCATTACGTAATTTATTAAACCTTTTTATTTACATACTTAAAATGTTTGCGGGGAATGATATTCCACGCTTATACACAATTTATGGGATTACAACTTAATCCCTTATAGTAAACCCCTTACATCAGAAAAAAAACTCATACGTCATGCAAATGATAAAACATATATGAAATATATGTAACAAGGAAGTTTCATGTGACTGTGAAAACCAATTAAGATTCTCAACAGCCCGTGTTCCTTGGGGGGCCAAGCGAGATATATTTAAGTCGCCTCGCACTGTCCAAGGTCACAGATATGCTCTCTCACGCACAGAAAGCAGGTCAATTCTGTTACTCCCAAACACACTCGGTATTAATGTCAAGTGCTTCAGGAAAGGAGGTGACACAAAATAATGGTAAATAAAGTAATCTTGAGAAGGAAAAAAAAGGGCTGTTATCAACAACAACTATAATAATTTCCTCCCCAATTTACATATTTTTGTCATCATTGTTAGAAAGAATCACACCCGCAATGCGCGTGTATATGTCTCTCTCTCTCTCTCTCTCTCTCTCTCTCTCTCTCTCTCTCTCTCTCTCTCTCTCTCTATATATATATATATATATATATATATATATATATATATATATATATATATATATATATATATATATATATATATATATATATATATATATATATATATATATATATATATATATATATATATATATATATATATATATATATATATATATATATATATATATATATATATATATATATATATATATATATATATATATATATATATATATATATATATATATATATATATATATATATACACACACACACACACACACACACACACACACACACACACACATATATATATATATATATATATATATATATATATATATATATATATATATTATACACACAAACACACACACACAGATATACAAAATACTAAACAATAATCACTCCACTATCAACTAACTTGCAAGGATGACATTGCAAAGATAACAATGGCGCCAAGCACACTTAACTTCAATGTAATATGTTAACGAGTAAGAAAGGGACTGGAGAAACAGGAGGCAGAGGGAGGGGTGAAAAGGGAAGAGAAGGACGAGAAGTAGGAGAACGGGGTAAAAAAAAAAGGGGGAGAGAAAAAAAATGAAGACAATTCAAGCGACGGATTCTTTCATTCGTCGAGCAAGCTGAATAAATTCTTCCCAAGTTAACTTCCCTCCTTCCCCTTTCCTCAATCCTGTGCATCAACATCCTCCCAAGTTTACAAATTCCCACGGGCAAAGTATATGCCTTCCCTGCCCGCACTTGTTGGCACGATGCTTGCCACATTCGCCAGCAAGTTCCAGGGACGCCATCTAGCCCGAGTGACCTGTACTACTGACCACCCTACACTCACGTCAGTTCAGCAGTCACATGGCATACAATTCCGTTCTGTGACGAGCTGTGTATTTTGAATGACTGGGAGTACTAATTAAAAAAAATTTACAGAATGATTTAGAAGGAAGTTTGGCCGTTTACTGGAGATAATGTATAACGGTTTGGGTCTAGACTCACGGACTGAACCGTTGGTATTGCCATATTTTTGTTTTTGTTTATGTTTTGGGGGTATTTTACTTATTCTGCTTTGTATCTGTATTACATGTAGAAACTTGATGTATTTTTATCAAAATTACTTATTTTCACTGCGAATCACCAGTACAATGATGAAGAATACAATGTGAATACACCACGCGGGGTACCAACCGCGAGAGACAACACGAAACATAATAAATTCCAGAGATACTACTAACATTTAACAATCGCTATCGAGATCAAACAGCCCATCAAACCGGTGACTCATTTGATAAGCTCATTTGACAATCTCTCTTCGAAATAGCACAAACACAACGATTGCAGCACCATTAACGAGGGGCCACGTGGAGCAAGCCAAGCACTGTAATTAGAGACCAGTTTCAGACCGCAATTTCTCTTTCATTCTCTCTGTTACCGACATTTTCCTCAAGTAAAATGCCTTCAATGTAACAACAACAACAATAATAAATAATAATATCAATGATAAAGCTACCCTCTGTATCAAGAAATCGGCTACACTGTCAAGCCATGAGGGAGACATCCAGAGTAAGATTTAGCATTGACTGAAGGCGAGACCGACTTTTGGCAAAGGATTCTCTTCATGGTTATTTTCATCCTCGAAACAGTGGTATACGTGACGCATTTGTTGGATATTTGGCCCAAATGGGTCTGTTTGGAGTTATATGACGAAAGATAGCTTTAGGAGATAAACAAGGTTTCTCAATTGCGTCAAAAATATGACTGATAGCAACCGCAACAGCAACGTAAAATCGGAAATCGCCTTCCATGCAGACACAACGCTTTGCAAGGATGAATGCGTAATGGGATACATAACAACACCTGTTCATTCTCTCTCTCTCTCTCTCTCTCTCTCTCTCTCTCTCTCTCTCTCTCTCTCTCTCTCTCCCTCTATCTTTAACAGATACTACTGCACTTCAACCGTTACATATTTCTTGCGACTAACCTACATTCTAAAAGCCTAACATTTCCTTTAAAACCAATTCTGAGAGCAAACCTACATACGGCGTTCTACTCTTATTCATATAAAGATCTGATGTTTAATCTCCAGACTGCTTTTGTTTGCTTCCGCAAACAAAGATTCAAATAATTTTAAAACAAAATCAACAATTTGTCGGAGGTAAGTATTTTCCTGATTTAGTGAATAAATAACTTGGGGATTTACCAGTTATTCAATGAGAGAGAGAGAGAGAGAGAGAGAGAGAGAGAGAGAGAGAGAGAGAGAGGGAGAGAGAGAGAGAGAGAGAGAGAGAGAGAGAGAGAGAGAGAGAGAGAGAGAGAGAGAGAGAGAGAGGGAGAGAGAGAGAGAGAGAGAGAGAGAGAGAGAGAGAGAGAGAGAGAGAGAGATACAGCATTACGAGCAATGATAGTCTGAGGATTTACCCAAAACAAAACGCGGGAAAACACAAATGTCGTGAGGTGCGTGACCTTTTCAGGATGACGTCATTATTCCAATCTTCGGCCTTATGACATCTTTAGCTTTCTCTCTGTCTGTTTTTTTTCTTTTTTTTTTTGTGATAATGGAGAAGAAAACAGAAGAGGAGATTAGGTCTAATAGAGAGAGAGAGAAGATAGAAAGAAAAAGGAAAATGGAAAATAAGGAGAGGGATTAAGTATGAGAATGTGGAAAGAGAGAGAGAGAGAGAGAGAGAGAGAGAGAGAGAGAGAGAGAGAGAGAGAGAGAGAGAGAGAGAGAGAGAGAGAGAGAGAGGGAGAGAGAGAGAGAGAGAGAGAGACAGAAAGAAGAAACAAAGACTGGAACTAAGGTGCGGTCATGAAAGTATGCGAAATATTTCAAACGGAGGAAGAGGGAGAAAGAAGATAAAAATAATGATGATGATAATATTGGTGATAGTGATGGTAATAAGAACGAGAAGGGAGGAAAAAGAAGAGAGAGAGAGAGAGAGAGAGAGAGAGAGAGAGAGAGAGAGAGAGAGAGAGAGAGAGAGAGAGACTAAGACCGAGAGGGAAAGAGAGACAGACTAAGACAGAGAAAAAGAGAGAGAGAGAGAGAGAGAGAAATAACACGAATGAATGAATTAATGAGTGAGTCAGCCAGTAAGTAAGCATGAGAGCGTGAGTGAGCGACCGAGGGAGCGAGTGAGTGAATGCTACGAGGCCGGGGAAAGGCGAAGGACGAGGGTGTAGTGCATCGCCAAGGAAGGCGAGGAGGAGGTGAGCCTCAGACAAGTGATGGATCATTCTCGACACGCAGGAGGCAACAGGAGGAGGAAGAGGAGGAGGAGGAGGAAGAGGAGGAGGAGGGGGTGAAGGGGGGAGGAGGAGGGAGGAGGGGGTGAGGAGGGGCAGGAGGAGGAGGAGGGGGTGAGGGGGAGGAGGAGGTGGGGGTGGAGGAGGTGGGGGTGGAGGAGGAGGGGAGGAGGAGGAGGAGGAGGAGGAGGAGGAGGAGGTAGAGTAGGAGGAGGAGGAGGAGGAGGAGGCGGTGTATGGGAGAAAAGAGGAGGAGAAAAAGAGGAGGAGGAGGGGGAGGAAGATGAGGGTCACGGAAAGTACGATGATGAATGTGAAGCGGGAAGAAGATAATGACAGGTGAAAGAGAAAGATTTAGAAGAGACAGAGAAAGAGCATACTGAATAATTATCAATTAATTCAATAAATTGATTTTGACCACTTATGGCGAGGGAGATGGGAAGGGAGACTTGCTGTTAGCGTTTGTACCTTTCTCTGAATATTGTTTTGTTTACCCATTTCATTTATTTTTTATTCAATAAACACTCGTACATACTCGGGGAAATATACATATATCTCTGGGCATCTGTATTTGCCTCTCGTCTGCTCTTGCTCTCTCTCTCTATCTCTATCCCTCTTTCTCTTTCTCTCTCTCTTGTTCTCCCTCCCCCTCTTTCTCCCTTTCCCTCTCTCTCTCTCTCTCTCTCTCTCTCTCTCTCTCTCTCTCTCTCTCTCTCTCCTCTCTCTCTCTCTCTCTCTCTCGCTCTTTCTCCCTTTCCCTCTCTCTCCCCCTCTCCCTCTCCCCATCCTTCATCCCTCCCTCCTTTCCTCTCGCGCTTTCTCACCCTCCCCCCCTCCTTCCTCCCTCCCTTCCCTTTAGGCTTCCCTGCTGACCAAACGGATTTCTTCCTGGCTTTTTCGTTCGTCATCAAATTTCCTTAATTGGTTTTGAGTCTATTAATCTAACTGTGCCTGGGGATAATATTTCACAACAATAACAACAACAATAACAACAAATCAAAATAATCTCTATATAAAAAAACAAACACTGTACACTGTAACGTTCTGACATTCAGAACCCCGAGATGTAACTGATAAAAAAAACAAAAAAAAAACACGA